GCACTGGACAGCCCTGCTGCAGACACACTGACCCTCCAGGACCGGCACTGGACAGCCCTGCTGCAGACACACTGACCCTCCAGGACTGGCACTGGACAGCCCTGCTGCAGACACAATGCCTGACCCTCAGTGCTCCCCTTACCTTGTGCATTTGGTGCATGTTATCCTGAGGGTACCCCGAAGGTCCCTGTGGGGGCAAGGGGTGCCCAGAAGACGGGGGTCCTGGGCTGGGTCCCATCATGCTGTGAGCAGAGCCCGGAGATGGCCCGGGACTGGGGCCCAGCATGGCGCCAGGGGAGGGTCCCGGGCCAGGGGAGGGTCCTGGCCTGGGGGTCCCACCCATAGGGGGGTCCGGGGTCGACATCTTCGCCTGATGCAGCTAGTGGGGAAACCAGTGAGCACCGTCCTGCAAGAAAAAAGAGCATGCATGAGAGAGATAGTCAGTGCCCAGCCCCAAGCAGGCAGGACCAATGCAAAAACACACAATAAGAAAGGTCTCAAATGAAAGGAGGCCAGTCTTTCTCATTGAGGAGCTGGAGATCAGGCTGGTGTCAGGAACCCCTCCAGCAGGTTTTGCGACATGGCTGGGAGTAAGATGAGTACAGCTTTCTTGCCCCTGCTGGGATTCGATCCTGGTCACCTCGCGGGCTCCGAGCACACACAGCGCCCCTCTCTAGGTGAGGGCCAACGCCACCACAATGGAAGAGCGGTCTGCTGTCTTGCGATGTCTAGATTGCAGAGGGAGGAGACGTCATATCTGTAACCAGCTCCGTGTGCAAGTCCTGTCTCACGCAGAGTGGCGCATTCACTGCGGAGCGGTGGCTCTGTGGCTAAGGATCTGCGTCTGTGGCTGGAAGGTTGCCGGTTCAAATCCCGCAGCCGGCAGAGCAAGGCCCTTAACCCCAGCTGCTCCAGGGGCGCCATATAAATGGCTGACCCTGCGCTCTGACCCCAGCTTCTCTCCCTGTCTGTGTGTCTCACGGAGAGAAAGCTAGGTATGCGAAAAGAAATTCCTAATGCAAGAAATTGTATAGGGCTAATAAAGTGATCTGATCTGCTTCCACACGGACTGCAGCGCATTCACTGATCTGCTTGTCTAGACTCTTCGTTTGCTCGAGTCTGCTCAAAATGCCCGCCTTCAAGCATACGGTTCCAGAACAACTTCAGCATCCAGCGCTTTTAAGAAGCAGCTCCTCTGCCTGCTCTCTCTTGGCCCCGTCTAAACAGCGCCGAAGTGATCAGGGCAGGAAGAACAGACATTCCCACACACATTCCCAATGTGAGCAGCTGCTCACATTTACATGGTTACAACCCCAGCTGGATCAGGGCAGTGCTGAAACTGGACCATTACATTTCCCACTCAGCGTTTTAAGAGATAAAAGCATAAGTAACAATAGCACTCCAACACAAAACCGAAACGAATTTCCCCCTGCTGTTAAATGAATCAAGAGGAGCCAAGCAAGCACAGAAGACTCAGCGGCCCCGGACGATCATGGCCTGTCGCTCTTTAGATTTTGGTTCATCGAGAAAAACAGACACCGACACCTAGCAAGCTCGTCAGTGCAAGGTGCTCCACTACAGAACAGGGCTCCAGAGAATTGGCATGATCCACATAGCTAATATACTGCCCGACCCCTTCTCATAAACAATCAACACTGAAAAAGCTTTTCGCAGGAGAGCCTATATACTACATCTGCAACTTCATCAACAGGTACAGGACCTGCCACAGCTGTCTGTCTAGACTGTGCTATCATCTACCCACTCCAGAAGGGCTTGCAGATAAAGCCCTACCACTGTGAATCCACATATTGCTCTGCGTCGATACAAAGTACTGCCCCTATATATCCACATATGGACTTAGTGGTTGTAAGTAAATATCAAACAACAAGCTTTCAGAAAGTTTTCCATATGTGGGTGTCACTGCCTCTCGACATGGTCGGGTCCCTTTTTCCAGAAGAACTCTTGCATTGAATACTAGAACTTTGATACAGACTCATCAGTCACAAACAGATGTCTGGGCTCTCCATCAGACCGACAGGTCAAACTGCAAACTGGTGAAGATGTGAATATGCTGCACCTTTTGTGCAGAGAGCAGCGCTACACGTTCAGAGTTCCCTTCTGTTTACGAGACAGAACTGGATATCTTAATCCGATTCACAAAAAGATATAGAATGTGAATGACCCAACTCGAGCAACTCTTGACTCAGTAAATCAGCGCATCTTGTTGATCTTGACGGGCACGATCATTTGAAAGTGAAAGACACTGTGACGATCCAGCATTTTAGCACAAACGCATCCTGATGAGGTGGTCTCACTGCCATTTTCCTGTTGAGTCCTCTTCAGATTGGCAGCGGGAAAACTATCCATCCAGCCCAAGGTTGCAGCGAGACCCAGAGACTATCCTTGCAAGCAACAGTCGCAAGGAACGATTCACCCTGGGTGGGACACCAGTCCATCACACACTTACAACAAGCCCTTGGAGAAAACTCCATTTTCTGCAAATAAAACACTTACACATGGAGGTCACAACAACACAAGGGGTGGGCACGGAGAGGACTGGGGTTGTGCATAATACAGAAAAGCAGAAGGGAACCCAAGACCTTGCGCAACGGGCCGGCACACTTTCTCTGAGAAAAGAAGAGTTTGGTTTAAAACCGCTGTTGTGGCGTAAGTAAGGAAAACAGAACATACGTATTTTCCTTTGACAACCCAGATTAGAGTTCCCTGAACCCATGGCTACAGCCCCCCCTACAAAAGCACTTTTTTGTGTAGCTGGAGGCTGCAACTCTAATGGACCCCCCAAATATTCATTGATAAAAGCATCCCAAATTTACCTACACAACCTAACGCTGCTAGAGAGTTTTATGTGGACTCAAAAGCTTACAAAAGCTCTCCAAATGATAGAAAATTCTCAATTAAACACTTGACTTTTACACACCCTGGTAGCTGTAAACCTTTAAGAATGGTTCATACACCGACTGCAGACAGGACAGGATTGGCGACAGGGAAGTTTACCGAGAGCTAAAATGGGGAAAAATTAAAACACCATCCCGGACTACAACCTTTTACAAGAAAGGTAGAGTGCGACGGGGCTATTACAACTTTTAAATAACGTCTGTGTTGTTGATTTGTTAAGTAAAGTGTTAATTTTGAGGCCTTTAACCCCTCAGATGCACAGGCTTCAAATCCTAAAGAATCCTTCAATTTGAAAACTCGAGTTGAACTGGTGGGACAGATACAGTCATTTTCAAAGTATAAAAATGACATTTCCTAAAGATAAAACGTACCTGATACTTATAACCGATTGGGGAGATATACATTTAAATATTTCTTCTGTATCTTCTATCCTAAACACGTTATGATAATTTGGAATAAACACAAAATGTCTGTCCAATAACAAAACAGGCAGTCTCAACATTACCAACATCAACAAGGAAAGGAAAAAAAACGTCTAAACAGCCATAGTAGAGTCTGGCGGCTTTGAAAAGGCGTTTATTCGTGTTTAGGTGCGATGAGTACAGTAATAGAATAAATACATTTAAATTATTTCAGCATCGGAAAAAGTCAATGTTAACCTACCTCACAAAAGCTTGTTCTCATTGTAAAAAGAAACACAGTAACGCCTATACATCATTATCAGACGCTTTTATTATGGAGGAAAAAAATGTCTCTCTGAACTTGGCCGTGTGAGAAGGGGGTATTTAAATTCTTCATTTTTCGAATAAAAACTGGAATTTCGTTCAGCTGGATACAAAGGGTGAAAATCGGGAGACAAAGAGCTACCAGCCGGCCATGCTGGTTTCTCTCGCTTAGCCTACGCTGGATATATATTTTAAGTTGATGTTTTCAGAAATCCCAGCAGCGAAAAAAGGCAAAACGTTTTTTTTTAAGTGTATTGATCCGCCCGGCCTCCCGTACCCTTCCCGGTCTGTATTTCCCCCATAAAATAATTTCATTCATTCGAGCTGAGCGGTGGCTCACAAGCACACGGACCAAGGAGAAACATCTTTCAGCTGACGAGCCGAGCGCAGGGGAAGGAGGAGGAGGAAAAGGAAAGAAGGAAAAGCTCCAGACCGGCAAACAAATGAACGAAGGGGAAAAAAGGCAAAAAATAGGACCCGTTTTCGTGAAAAGGCCACGTAGAGACTCAACGGAGCAATAATCGAGGGGCGCTTACCAGCTCAGGGCAAATGCAGGTCTCACCGGCGCGTCTTCCCCCTCGCTTTCTGCGGAAACAAAGAGCTCCCTGCTGGCTGCACCCCCCTCCCTCTCTCTGTCGCCTGACTGTATTTCTCCAGCCACACCAACCATAGAGTCTGAGCGTTAGCGCCCCCCCTCCTCCATCTCTCTCTCTCTCTCTGTTTTGTTTTTTCTAAAACCCGGCCGGCTTGTCCGAGCGCAGGCGCAGTGCCGGCACCACTGCAGGCGGAATGCGCCGCGGCAAAGAGGCCGGCCGGTGCGGCTCAGCCGGACGTGTTGGACGAGGTGGGGGATGGGGTTGCTCTCAAACAGCGCCGAGTGCGCGTACGCGGCTCGCTCACGTCTTGCACCTGAAGAGCAGTACACTGTCGTTTACCAAATAACCTCCTTTCACCCGTACTCTAGCACCAGAGTAGATTCAGAAATCGCACAGAGAGCGTAAATAGTTTGGTCGCTAAGCGTTTTTACGCAGTTATCGTGCATTTCCCCAGGGTCTCCTATATTCGTATGTTCCGAAAGGTACCTTGGCAACATGTTTAAAGTGGTCCCTGGAAACTATTTTTTCCTCTCCCTAAGTTTTATCATCTGTTAAAAAGTGAGAATGAAGGGTCAAGCAAAATCCCGCTTAGGTCAGAAGATATCTTTTTTTTTAAATGACTAATCAGTTTGGGAAAAAAACCCAGAAGACACCAGGTTCTCGAGAAACGGAAGATGAGACTGCCGCTGGGTCGCGGGATGGAGCCCCAGCGCTCAGACTCCAGGAAGCCCAGGAGTGGAGTCGAAGACCTCGCCCTCCTCAGGGACCGGCGGCACGTTTATCCCGGCGGAACCGCGGAGCCCGACGCCCGGCCCGCGGCCGACGCTGCCTGTCTCCGCGACGGCGCGCAGGCCCGAACCCGTGAAGCCGTTTCCGGGACGGCCTGGACGCACTCAGCACGCCGGCGCTGATTGGGGGAGGGAGGACGGGCAGAGCAGCAGGTGTCTTCTGGCCCTGGCAGCACGTCTCGACCACCATCCTGGACAAGCCTTATGGGAATTCTAGCAAGGACCATGGACTCTCTCAGAGGCTGGTGCCACAGTGCCACTTGCGTGTCTTCCTCCGGCACTGCACCTCTGCCAGGAGACCAGTGCTGCCCAATTACTGACCCTCACCCCCATTCTCCCTACCCAGCCCGTTAGAAGCAGTCGAGGAGAGGCAGTACAACACTGGAACACCTCTTGCTCCAGAGTCCAGCAAATCCCACATAGTTTATAAAATACATTTGAAAAATCATATCCCATATACAGCATACTTTTTCCCCTCCAGTTCAAATAACTGGGTCCACCAAGTACATCGAGCCTAGCTCTAGAGAGCTGGAAGCAGGTGAACTGTTCTGATTAAGAAAATAAGACAATTCAGGTTGTACAGTGCCAATTTGGAAAGAAAGCAGCCGATAAATCCCCCCCAGAACAGAATTAGGTCATTTTGCTGCAGGTAACTCGAACCAGCTTGAACACTAGAAATCTCAAACCAGTAGAAATGGGCAACACTCACTGCTCTTGTATTTGCATTGGCTTCTATCATTAAACCTTTAATTTATTATCACACTCCATACTGTACTGTTAATTGAAGCCACCCTATGAACATCTCACTGGGGAGAGATTTTCAATAAAATTCACAGAAACCTACCCTACAGTTGTTCATTTTTTCCATTAATATAAAGGTAAATCAAGAAAAAGCAATTAAAACAAGCAGACATCGTTGTAAATTTCTTTCTTCTTTTAAAAAACAATTTATTGTTTTTCAGCATGTTTTGTGCAAACTCTTCCGTGGAAAGACACAGGAAGAGGATTAGTTTGCTTTCAGAATCTTTTTAAGTACAATAAATCTGAATGCAAGGAGAACTAGACCTGATGATTTTGTTTGGAAAAAAAAAATGTTCCTAACTTTAAACATTGAATTAAACGGAAGTGTTTAAATATACACAGTACATATAAAGTTTTTTTTTTTTTAAATGTACAATCCCCAGGTAGAAAACTGCATCACACAGCAGGGGTCCAACACTGGAGTCAGATAATTTACACAGTAGATACGCATCAAGAACTATACTCCCGATACAAAGTCGGGCGTGACGATCGGGTTGTGCATGGCCTGTTGTGTGGGTTTGTGGCTGGAATTACATCTTAGATCTTTCTCCACTATGCAGAGGGAAGAAACAATAGACTCCAGAAACATGGGTGCTAGGAAAAGAAAGCAAACAGATGTGGCCAAGCGTTACATTAGCACCGATTTGCTATGGTCCTCAACAGTGGTCTTTCGGTTGCTCCTTTGTCCCAAATATTTTAGGCCCAATAAATTAATGGTGCATAGTAACTGCAGGCATCATGGTACTCGAACCAGAGCTTTTCTATGACCGGGAAAAGGCAAAGCTATGGGAGCTCAGCACCTGTACTTCAACCCTGCAGTAGTGATTTTTGGTTTTTCCTGGCAGGAGAGCGCATGCTAGCAAAGCACTGATGCATACGACCACCTAGGCCTGGATCCACTGTCACTTTCAAGTCAGTGGCATGAGCAGAGCCGTCCTGTCCACCGAAAGATGGGCCGCGTCAGATGAATAACCTTTCATAGGAAGGCTAATGCTGACTTCGCACATAAGGTTCAGGGCTGTATATTAGAAAGGCCTCAACTCCACACTACACAGACAATGCCTGACAGAGCCAGCCCAGACTGTGTAGCTATGAAGACGGGGCGACTTAACCACCCACCCCCTCAAGTTTGTGTGCCAAGACCAGTCAGAAAGATGCCGATAAAAACTGATTTAACTCTTAAAACCAGAAGGGCGGGGGATCAAGGAGAAGGTGTCAAAGAGCTAGGGATGTAGAAAGAAATCACAAAGCTCTCCGTTGGCACCCATCAAAGCAGAACACGCAGCACTTCCGGCCATGATGGAAACAGTACAAACACTGACTGGGAGAGGGACGGATCTGAACATGCTGCTCAACTTGCTGGTGTAAACCTGAAAGCGCAGGCTACTAGACAAAGACGACCGCTGAAATCCAGACGTGGGCGGCGGCGGGCGAAACTGACCCAGAGGGGGACAGTGCCTGCAGAGAGGAGGGACTACTGCTGTACTGCTCTGTTGCCTGAAGTGTAATTCAGCACTTCAACGTGGTGAATCAGGCCACTATCCAGCACAGAAACAAAATTACCCGAGTGCAATTTGTGATGAAAACCCAGTGGGGAAGACCTGTGTGGCCAGATTCACATGGAAGGTGCTTGACTGGACAGAAGTCCGAACACGACCTGCAAATATAAACATCAGGCTGTATTTGCGATGGCAGTTTCGTTTAGCCCGAGAGGTAGGATGTTCTTCCTAGACTCGACATATTCAACATGGGTATCCGATCAGGGCATAATCCCACAATGCAGAAGCCAGAGGAACATGTGTTACAGCTGTACGAGCCAGGAGTCAGCACTAGGATCCTTAAAAGGCCACAATCTGCCACACCATTCAGTTTGGGGTCCCCCATTCCAATTCGATAGGTCTGCATGTTTTCCCACTCAGTTCTTGAGCCAACTGAATTACAGCAGTGCAGTACCTTTCAGCAGCCCTTAAAGAGCCAGCGCTCTAAAGAAAGCTATAAGATCTAATATGTGCCTGTCCTCCAGGACAGGACCAGCTGAAGACCCACAGCAACAGGCTTTAGTGGCTCTGAGGATTTGGGAAAGATTAGAGGAGTCTTCTGGACTGGGGCCTTGCCGACACAGGTGGGCCTGTTTTCTACCTGAAGAGAGGAATGCTTAACCCCATGGCTAATTCGCCCCATTATTTGCGCTTACCATGCAGGAAAGAACCGACTTCCTGAAAAGATGACAAGTTTAACAGCATCCTCCACTCTCTGCTTAGATAACACACTTCGATACTTTGGCTTGCAGATGAATTTCAGGTAAGGCCTCTGTTCACAGCACACAGAGAGGAGCAGTGACTGTTGAGATCTTTTGCCCTATTACTATAAGCCTAAAGGTCACTTTGCTAACGTGAGCCTACGAGTTACTTGGTTTTACTCACAAAGGGCGTGTGCAGAACCTTTTCAAGCATCAGTGTTAAACAGAGCTGTGCAATGCAGAATTCACCTTCCAAGAGGGGGAGCACTTCGAGAAGACAATCTTCAATCACTAAAAACTCCTTTGCCGTTTTATAAATATAATCACATACTAAACGAAAGAACTTTGTCCGATTGTAAAAACGTCTTTAAAAAAGAAAGCCGGCTAGATTTGCATACCCAGGGCTCAGCGCTAACCCAACTCTGGAACAACTTCCCTTCTTTCAGAACAGGTTGTTCCCATTTCCAACTCAGCCGTCTGCACCTGCCCAGCATATCCCCGGAACAATTTGTTTTGAAGAAATAAAATAAATAAAAAAACACCACCAAAAGATGCAAAACAAAATCTAGACTCCCATCTTCTAGACTGTACAACTGAGGAAGTCATTTAACATTTCCTGCTAGTGTTAACGTGAGCTAACTAGAGTTTGTGACTGCAAACTGGCACTGTAGGCCACAGAACAATGCAGCAATTGAGAGCACCGGAACTATTTGGGTACCAGCCGTGTGGTACAGAGCACACGATCACATGAGAAATCAACAGCAGAGTGGACAAATGTAGACAGCCAGCAGTTCTTCCACTCCATGCAGTTACAAGTACTTATTCCACACGATCCTTAACTTAAGAGTAGTCAGCAAAGGGGTCAGTTCATTCAGGACCGCTTCAATTAACAAGGGAGGGATCAAAGTCTTGCAATGGCATGGATAAGTAGGACGCTGGGCTACTTAAAGGGGTACAACCCTTTCAAGTTGCCGATTAAAAACAAAAAAAACAAAAGACCCTAAAACCAGGATTAGCGACTCCAGTCCTCGCGAGCTGTAACATCTGGAAGAATCGCACATGTGCGTCTCAATGAGCCGCCGATTAAGACCCAGGAAAGGTCTCCTTGTCCAGTCCACCGGCTTGCAGACGGACAGGAGGCCGAAGGAGACTGCCGGCCCCCGTGGGCCACATTATCTGAAGAGCAGGGGGTGAGGGCGGCTCCTTGGCGGTCGCCCCGCGAGGTCACAACAAGACAAAGTCATCCATGCTGCCCCCGTGCGTCCTGGACAGGTGTCCCGCGGGCAGGATGCAGCCCCGGTGCGCAGAGGGCATTCCAGCGTGCTCTCCCAGCACGTAGTCCTGGCTCTGCCCCTCCGCAAAGGTGAAGATGGGGTACTTCTCCATGGGGGAGGAAGCCAGCGCCTGCAGGGAAAAAACGGGGATCCTGAGCGGACGTTCGGGCCACAGCAACACGCCAGACTACATGGTGCAGAATTAAAACCAAGAGTCGAAAGGAGCTCAGCACGATGCATCGGTTCTAGCAAGCAAACGTTTTAAGTGTGATCTAGTTAAAAAAATTGAAGGTGGCCTTCAAAGACTTTGGCAAGGAATTCTAAAGTCTCACAACCCGTGTGAAATGTCTGCTCTCCATAGGCAGGGCTCCCACTCATTTTTTACCAACAAAATTACATTTCCACTACTTTTCCTGCATAATTTACATCATGCATGTCCTGGGCCTTCATCTTTTTGGAGTCACTCCCTTCATTTGGAGACACTCCCTCTCCCTTGTGCTTTTTGCTTCTCCTGTCTCTCCCCCTTCACACCTGAAGATGACTCGGAAGCAACAATCCCCGTATCCACACAGGAATCGGGGGACAAGAAGACGCACCCCCTCATCAGTGCGACCTGTCGGAGTGGTTTCATTATTTGATACCGGCCTATCAGGCGCTGGTGCCCCACAATTAGAGGTTAGAAGAGTGTTGTGTCTCAGCCTGGCACATCTGCTCTTCATTAGCTGGGGGGGTTGCTGTATTAGGTCCTAAATTGGGGCACCCTATTCTTCTCTCTCAGTCCGGGAGCAGAGTTAAAAAGGAAAAACAGCTGGGAAGGAGCAAACAGGAAACTCACAGCCGTGACAGCCGAACACAGAGTCTCGAAGTCCTTCCTGCTCCTGGCGTAGAAGCCTATGGTACAGCTGGGGTCCATTCGGCTGAAGCTCATCTTCCGCGGGGAGTTACAGTGAAACGACTGGGGGAGGGGCAAAGAGAGCGAGAGAAAATAGGGTCAGTACATTTTCTTAATCTTTTTTTTTCTAAAGCCAACCTGGAGGAATGCGAGTGAGGTACCTTATTCAAGAGTACAACAGCTCTGTCTTGCCCTCTCAACAGAAACTTAACTGATACTCCTCAGCGCCACAGCAGTCGGGTTAACAGCTGCGCGACAGCAGGGAAGCATGGCTCTTAACACACACACTGTTGCTGAACAGGATGAACATCCTAATCCTCCGCTTGTCTCAACACTCATCCCGTTCACCAGCAACTCTGTCAAATCAGTTAAATGCTTATTTCTAAGGTCAGGCCTTACAGGAATATGGTTCGATGAATAAAAGGGCAGCATGGTGGCACAGTGGCTCACAAAAAGAGCAGCACTGGTGCCCTGGGTTCAATTCTGGATCTAGGGTGCTATCTGTGTGGAGTCTGCATGTTCTCCCTTGGTTTGCATGGGTTTCCTTCCACAGTTCAAGGCCTACTGGTAGGTTTATTCGCTAATGAGCAAACTAGCCCTGGTGCAACTGTGTGCCCAGCAATGGACTGGAATCCTGTCCAGAGTGTCCCCTGCCTTGTGTCCGTTATTTGCCAGGATAGGCTCCAGCTCACCACGACCCTGAACTGGATGAAATGGATTGATGTTGGTTCTGCAAATAATAATAGAAATAAGCATTGCAAGGGGACTGGCTAAAAATGCTCCCCATTTTTGGAATCATCTCTTCCTCACACACAAAGTACTTTTAATAAGCACGAGGACGCAGACTCTTACACAATGCAGGCGGTGGGAAGGAGGGCATGAGTGATTTCCCCCTGCAGAACGACAGTGCTCTGTGGCTGCACAGTGTTCCTAAAAAAGAACTAGGAAAGTTCTAACCTCCAGTGGGAAGTGGTCTCTAGTGACGTCCACCACAGCTTGACAGTAGTGTGGGTCCAAATACAGCAACTGCTCATCTGTCCAGCAGAAAAAGGTCAGGAGGAATGGTCAGAAACAGATGCAGCGATGCCAAAAATTCAGATTGTGCCATATTCTTTCCACATCTTACCTTGGAACCCAATGAAGTAGAGGGAGTGTTTGGGCTTCCCCCCAATGATTCCAATACAGCAGTCTAAACTGAGAATGCTCTACAAGGAGAGAGAAAGGGAGACATTCCTGGTGTCATGAGCAGGGCTCACATTGCCAAATTACATCGCTCACTGCAAGACATGGCAAAACACTTTAGATAGGCTAGGAAACCACTCACACAGAGATGTAGTGCACTATACAGAATTCCCCCACTGGCAGGAATCACTCATATTTTAGGTGTTGGCTGCGTAATAGTCACTGAATATCAAAGTCTTCTGGTTGATACTTCATCCAAATTGATCTATAGTTTAAAGCTGCATAATTTGTATGTAAACAAGAGATTGGTCTGGAATTTTAGACCTTTAAAGAGCTACAAGTGCTGGAAAAAATCTGGGTACAGCAGCAACATCCACCACCTGGAGTTTGAATCCATGACCCTCTGGTCCAGAGCCTGGAGCCTTGACCACCATCCACACTGCTGCCCAGGAAGAGCAAACAGGCCTGAAGGTTCAAGTCAACACATGTTCGCCTGCCACAGATGAGCACACTATTCATGGGGCGGGAGTCTTGCACTCAGGGTATTCAATACTGTAAGGCACTGAAGACCATAAAGAACTTGAAACTCCCCCTGCGACAGGCGCAGAGCCTCTGTTCAGGAATAGCAGTACCTTGACGCACTCCGTGTAGACTGGGTTGAGAGTCTCACCCCCCAGGCGGACAGGAACCAGGATGATGACCGACTTCCAGCTGGGGCTGGGTGCAGACAAGCCCTCCGTCACGCCCTGCTCACACAGCCTCGCCACGTCGCCCTTGTACACTGAGCAGAAAGACACCAGCACAGCTCAAACCCTGGCCTGTGGCAATCGCCTTGCAGCTGCAAAACTGTTAATCACTCCACAGTGACCAGGAGTCAGGCCAGTCTTAAGCAAACTAGACATAAGGTACAGGGTTTTGAGGTTGTGAAAGTTAAGGTAAAACGCAGGGCACTCACCAGTACAGTCCTGAGATACATACACCGCCAGATTTCGGATATCTGTGGCGTTTGCAACAGCTTTGCTGGAAAGACAGAAGAGGAATCCCTTTAGAGATGAGCTTCCTTCTAGATTATACACAGTCTCCTAGCAGCAATGGTTTAAATGGTCATGGAAGTTTTTGGGAAAACAGATACAAGGTTAAAATCTGCATGAATCTTTCAGGAGAGGTCGGGACATCACTGTAGTTTAAAACAGTTATCTGGAACATGCAACGAGCCCAGACCTTCGACTAAAGTGCCGCAGGAGGCTCTCCTTTGCATACCGAAAGAAGAAAGTATCAGGGAGCACCAGCACAAAGACCTGCACCTGTTTTGATATCAACCCCCCACCCCCTCCCATGATCAGCTGACTGTACATAGAAACCACTATTCAAAGCAAAGCAGAACTATTAATTAGCCAGAATAAGACATGTATACAGCCATCTGGGATAACCAACAATCCCATTAAAGAGCTTAGTCTGACATCACAATAACAATAAAGGTTGTGTTGTGTTGTGTTTTATTAGGATTCAGGTACTGGCATTTGAAGATGAGCAGATGTCACAAGTATAACCATCTGTAAATTCAGTGTCAAGGTCCTGATGAAATATTAATAACGTAAGATCTTGCTCCTGGAGTCAAGTCCATGCAAGTTCACTCAGCACAAGTGAGCAAGTGCAACATTTCCCCACAAACCGATGTTAGCTGATAGAAGCACACACAGATCTCTCGTCCCGCGCAGAGCTGGGTGAAAGCTAGGCTCTTACCAGATGATGTGTGCCACAATGGAGGGCCCATACCAGTCCCCCGCCTTCTTCCCTGAGCTCTTGCCCAGCTCCACCAGCTGGTGCACCCCGAAAGGGGCGTGAGGGTGATCCCCGAACCAGGACACCACTCGGCGGTGCACAGCCTCAGAATGCGGGTCCTGACTGTGCCCCGGGGGGGCCCTCCTCCCTGACCCCTCGACGCCGCTGCCGTGCCCCCGGGGAGTCTGGCAGGGAGCCCGGGAGAGGGGTGGGCCAGGAAACAGCCCCCCGCGGGAGGGGGAGCGGGGCTTCAGCACCTCCATGTCAACGTCCGCCAGCTGATGGGCACCCGGCCACGTCCATTCTGCAACGACACCCCATTATTTACCGCTACAGCGACCGACACCCCTGTAGTAACTCGGCTCAGCCCGAACCTCAACAGGAGAGAATCCTGAGCTCTTCCAGGGGAAGAAAGTCTTAGATTCTGCAGATGATCAGAGCCTCGCCCTGCAAAGTTTGCTCCAAGGTAAACCTGGAGAAATCCCAGACTTCCAACTTGTTTAGCATGTTGGCATTTACAGATTTTAACACAAATGCCAAATAGTTAAACCAATGCATCCATGCATTTGCCTCTCTCTACCCCTTTGTGCTAGAATGTGGAAACTGTGAATCTACATGCATCCTTTCATATTCCTCCTGACATGACCCGGTGCACAGGAATAAAACAACTTGAATAAAAATCAGCCATGCACTTGTACTTCACAGCCCATCGCAGGAGTACAAGCACCAGCTGGAATCTGCTCACACTGCCTGATCACTCTCTGCTGAAAGAGCTGGCCCGGGCAGGCTCACTGACCTGAGGGCAGCAGGTGTGCCAGCAGGCCCTGGGCCAGCAGCATCTGCCCGCTGCGCAGCATGCAGCCCCAGCCGCAGTCCGTGGTCCACACCGAGCCCTCCAGCTGCGGGAACTCCCGCCGGTAGGTCAGCCACACCCGCGACACGAAGTCCCGCTGGAAGCGCTCCACCTCGTCTGCAAGGGGGAGGGACAGCTGGGTCACGGGGCGCCCGCGGTACAGCCGCTCAACCTGGACCACCGCTACCACGGTTACCATCGGACATCTCTACCGGGCCTAGCGGCTCGGGGGGTTCTACAAAACCGTGGGGGGGTCCCCTTTAAAAACCCTGGGCCATTTCCGCACACAAAAAACTCAGCGTGCTGTGCTACAGCTAATAAGAAGTTTAAAAAAGTTAAAAGGAAACTACGGTTACTCAGGGCTGGGTTCAAATATATTCAAAAGCTGTTTCCTACAGAATATTCCTAAAAAGGCACAGCCCAATGGAGGGCTCTACCCATATTGCTGCATCACAGTCATTTACACATCAACATATATCAAACCAGGCAGCACACATAGGTACTATATAGGACGAAACCAGAAGTCCTCAGAACAGCACGCCCCGCTAATCTAAATCTTCCCCACATCAATATCGCTTTCTTTCTGTGTTTTCAGATACTATGCAAGACCTCGGACAGTTAATATGATCAATGTGCTGTTGAAATAAATGAAACACAATATCGGTTGTCCAACACACAGGAGAACGGTGCCAATCCAAAGTGGTGTTCTCCACTGACAGGCGTGAACATACCTTCATCGTTGAGCACGTAGATCCGGCCCAGCAGGATCAGGGGGGAGGTCTTGTTGAAGCTGGTCTTCATTTTGACTGACCACCCTGTTGAAGGGGGGAGGAGAAGAGAAACGAGAGATTTAGCACAACGAAAGCCACAAGGAAGCTCTGGTGCTAGGAACACACATTTTCCCCAGCTGCTCCATCACCCTACAGCTGTGGTCCATCACCCTACAGCCTATATGATTCTCCGTTGTCTGTGCCTGACCGCACAAATCCATCACCCTGTAATTAAGACGTTCAGCTGCCAGCTATTGTTTCACTACAGAGTTTAATGCAACATTTCATTTTAACACTTGCTTCTGTTAGGTCAGTGCTCTGTGACGATAATTTTTTGCTCGTACGGGGCAACTAAAATTCAAGAAAAGAAAAACTATTTTCTAAACCAGACATTGGCAGCTCTGGTTCTGGAGAAGGAACAGTCTTCCAGTAACAGGAAAAGCAGGTTTTGTTCCCAACTTCCCAATGCAGAATATTACAGCAATCAGAAAAAACAGACCAACTTCCCCAAGCAGAGCAAATACCAGGTCCAGTGAAGACACTGAGCTTGACATACTGATATGTGGAAGCTGCGCGGAAGTGTGCTTAAAACCAAGAGCTGGAGACCTCTTTTTTTTTTTAACACAAAGAGTGGTGGGGGTGTGGAACTAGCTACCTAGCTATGTTGTTGAAGCAGATACGTTGGATTCCTTCAAGAAAAGGCTGCAAGAGGTCATTGAATTAACTAGCTACTGACAGGCTGGCCCAAAGTGTAACCTGTCTTCTGTTCCGATTGAGAGCCAGGGTCACAGATCCCGGCTGCGGTCGGGCTGGGCGCCCTGCCCGTGCTGTACTGACCGTACTTGACGTTGTTCCAGGCGGACATCAGCTTGGCTTTGAGGCGGTCCACCTCATCCGGCTCGTCGTTCCCAAAGTAGTTCCTGGGGTCACGGGGCGGCCTCCTGCCAGCAGGGGGCAGCAGATCCTCCTGCTGGGCCCCGGCCCTGTACTGCGCTGCGCTGGGAGAGACCGAATTCATGGCCTCGGGGATGTGGCTCGTGGGGGGTCCGCAGCTGCCTTCCGTCTCGGGGACTCTCATAGCCTCGGCACCCTGGCGGGGAGGTTGAGAGCGATCAGGTCAACTAATAAAAAAAAGTCACACCTAACCCAAAAAACACCCTGGTATCAGTTCTTTTATTACTTGTGGAACAGGCCACGATGTAGATGAAAAACAATACCAGGAAACAGTCGAGGAAAGCACCGCGTGACGTGGTTTGAAGGAATCCGCTCTCAGACTGAAGAGACACGAGACGTAGCTCCGGGAGAAAGAACACGACACACTTGCACACAGACAGTGAGTCCTATTGAGGCTGCCTATTGCACAACAGGCCCTGACAGGCGTCAGCCATTCACCGACGTGCACAACAGAAACTGAAACGTAGCCCTTTTAACCACAGAAGAGGACTTCACAAAGGCTGGAGGCCAAGAGGAACACTGAACATTCAGCCCTTCAAAAAAAAAAAAAAGGGCATGGGACTTGCACGAGACTGGGGGGAAAAAAAGCAAAAATTCAACCCCCCCCACCTTGTAAAACTGTGGAACCCACACCTCCTGCGAACAAGATCTCGACCACAATGGGGTTTGATCTTTCAGAAACACCAAGTGTTTCACTTTTGGTTGGATGGCCATCCAGTCTAAATATACTCTCTGCAGTTTACCTTTAGCAAACAGTCACAACAGTAAATCAATTGGGGATTCTGACAAGTGAAAAAAGGCATTTAACAGCTAATACCTAGGTGTGCGAACTCTTTGGCATTCAGCACTTTGTGAAAGACACTTTCCCTGAAAGGCACTAGATAAGGTTTGCTGAAAAACGTCAATCACTTTAACAGATAAGATCCACAGCTGTTCAAATTCTGCTTCACCAGAAACTGCATCTTGCAAAGGACTGCGTAGAGTCCCGAAATGGATCTCACTGCTATGCAACTGGGAGTCTGCTTTTTCGTTTCCCTTCCCAGAAACACCCCACACCCTGTTTGGGAAGTATCATTTCCCAGGTTCTGTACTTGACAGTGTCTGGAGTTTTAGGATATTGTCTAATCAATCAGGGCAGCTACCATTCTCCTCTGATGCGTGCTCTGTGTAGCTCCTCAGCTGTCCCTGTGCTCTGCTAAAGGCCATCATGTGACATTTTGTAGACTATAAACCTACTGTTACATAGTATATTACAGTAGGGCTTTTCAACTCCAAGCACATGCTTTCCTGCTATAGAAATCTAGGGCACATAGAAGTGGAACGCTCAATCAATGGGGGCTATTTCACTACATAAGCAGAAAAGCTCTTCAATAATACTACCTAATTCCTTACACTCAGATAGCACTGTTCTGGTCATTCTACTCAAAAGCTATATAGGTAATGGGGACTCCCCTCCGCCACTACCAGTGTGAAGCCCCCATATGGATGATGTGATGGCAGCAAAGTGCACCAGTACACTCATCACACATCAGCTATCAGTGGAGAATAATGAAGCTAATTCAGAGATGGGGATTTACTAGGAGGCCATGATTGGTAAAGGACAGGGGGAAGTTCGGCCAGGACACCACTACTCTATTTGAGAAACACCCTGGAATTTTCCCTGACGATGAAGAGTCAGGAATTTGGTTTTACATCTCATCTGAAGGGCCGTGCTTTTTTTACAGTATAGTGTCCCTGTCACTATACTGGGGCATTAGGACCCACACAGACTGCAGGGTGAGCACCCCCTACTGGTCTGACTAATACCTCGTCAGGCAGCAACCTTAGCTTTCCCAGGAGGTCTCCTATCCAGGAACTGACCAGGAGCACACCTGTAGAGATTCAGTGGGCCACCAATTGTGAGTTGCAGGGCAACACAGCAGCTCATACAATTCTTTAGCAATTTCACTTTCCGCCCACATATTCTAGTGCATTTCATGCGGAAAAAAAGGAATCCACCCATCCATTCGCTAAAACCCTTTTTCCAATTCAGGGTCAGAAGTGAAATGGAGCCGAACCTGGCAATCAGACGCAAGGCGGGGTCCACCCTGGACAGGACACCAGTCCTTCGCATGGCAGACGCAGACAAACACACACACCAATATCGATTTTCCCAGAAGCCAGCTAGACTACCATTATGATTGGGACTGTGGGTGGAAGGTGGAAAGCGGAGCACCCGACAGAAACCCACACAAACCTGGAGGGAACATGCAAACTCCACACAGACTGTACCCCAGGAACTCACCCCAGGGTGCCAGTGCTGTGGACCACGGTGGCATGCAAACAAAAGCAATCTATTTGCTCTATTTGTGCTTGAGCCGTCTTGTCATAGGTGTATATTCAGTTGATCAGTGTATCAGGTTTGGACATCTATAGTGTTGTCGATTTTAAAGAATTATATTAAATTATCCAACCCCTGACCAAGAACAAGACAACACAGCCCTTCCTGATTAAGTCACAGGAGGCATTGTTCCCTTATCACCTACTGATTCAATCGGTTGGGGGCATTGAAGCCAACACTGACAAGGGGTAAGGAAGACAATAGGTAAGCCCATTAACATAACGGGTTCGAGAGCTCCTGATTTACATTCTGGATTCAGAAGGAAAAGAACAGGCTAAGCTTTTCATTCACTGCATATAGGCTCTCGGCACGGAAGAAGGAGGGGGAGGGGAGGTTGAAAGAGCACCACGTTTCTCTTCTCCCAAATCCTTCCAGGCTACAAAGCTTTTACCAGAGACCAACCCCGGGTTAGACAACGTGGTTTATCGGTATCACTGGACTGACCCCGGAGAAAGAGATGCCAACCCTCTGAAGAAATCGCCGGCTTATTTTTTAACATAGAACTAAAATTCCTCTCCCACCGTGCAAAGATTAACCAACTCCGGGCGCACCACTGACCATCTTGAGGAGATGTGTACACAACACGACCAGCAGCATAGAATTCCAGTTCCAGTTTTATTATTAGGCTGAAGCCATTTATGGGCACGACAAGTAGGGCGCACGGTGTCACCTGTGATTCGAATGAGAATTCCGACATTTCCCCCCAGAATGCACGTTAATAGAAACCGGAGTGGAGCAACGATCGTGGGATGAACTGAAATTGTTTTAGCAAAGCTGCTGATCTTAAGAGGCTTGTTCGCATCCCTAGCTCTAGATTTAAAGATTTTCCAAGCCCTTGAAGAAAAAAAAAACACATGTATATGAGAATGTGTTCATCCTTCTTCATTAATGCAAGCAGAAGGCTGTAGGTCGGAATTTAGTTGACAATGTAAATGCACTTAAGGATCGATACATAATTATACTCGTTCTGCAGCACATAGCGTTTGCGTGAATTGTATTAACTGCAAATGTCCAAATTCGCTAAAAGGCACGCATGTATTACCACAGTATAATCCATCACACATTTCAAATCTAGTTTTATCTCGGCTCGATGAGGGGACAAAACACAATGCAACAACCGCAGAGTGTCTAACAGAAAAGTACCCCGATATCCAAAAGATTCGTAAATAAAACAGTTCTCACCTAAATTTGCAGATCTCCATCGTCGCAAACAGCATTTACAAGTTAACTTTTCACTTAAAACAGCTGAAGACAGGAAGATCGAAACACTGTTTTGTTTATCTTAGTGCTGGTCAGTATCATCACTCTTTTAAAATACAGCTAAGCAGAAAAAATATAATTTTAGCCTATTTCTGTGCAACACTAGCATCCTTAATAACTGGCGCTTCCTATCTGAGTCCAGATATTTAAGTCACGAAAACATCAGAACTCAAAATTTCCTTGTAAACGCTGTGGCGAAGAAAATAGATGTTCACTGTTCCGGAAATTATAACAAGCCCCCGCTCTGACGAAAATCGAAAGGCCAGCCCATGGCTTTTTCGGATTGGCTAATGCACAATCATACCTTTTATTGATTGGGTTAAGATACGTCAATCACGACGGAACGCCCAAATTCTGTCTCACATTGGTCCTTGGCTCATGTGACCATAAACACTACCCATGATCCCCCATCATCACCGTTTTTGAGTTCACCTACAAAAGATCACGACGTTTTATCTGTTGCCTTCTGGGAAGTGTAGTTTAATGTGTAGCTACATGTCGCAAAAAACGTAGAAGGCAACGAAATTAGGCCCTCCTGAAGTGTTTATGTATATATCTATATATATATACAGTACATAAGAAAGTATTCCTCGTGAGTGACCCAAATGACTGGTCCTCATTTTTACAACAAAAATCATCACAGAAATGTAATATGTTAAAATGGGTAGATTGGACACAGTTGGTCACTTACAATAAAAAATATTGAGGGTATCAAAAGTTTTTTTTAATTATAATATAGAAAATATTGGCATAAAAAATTAAGTCAGCTGAAAAAGAGATAAAACATGCAAACATGGGCTGGCAGGTGAACAGCATTGTGAGACATCAGGTTTAGGGGTAAAGGGTCTGCATTATACCCAAGGGCACTGGGAAATATCCAAGAACTTTGCTGAGGAAGCCGTGTGGTCTGGAGGAGAAGGACAGAGTCATATTCCTGTCTCAAGTCCAGTCTCTCCCTTTTCCACCTGAGTGAGCTCCGGCCTTCAGAAGAGACAGCAATAACCACAATCCTCTGTAAGGTCTTTAGACAGGCTGCTGATGTCTGTCTTATTGTCAGAGACTGAAAAAAAAGGTGTGGGATGAAAGTGTGGATCTCGATGGCCAGGGTCTCAGTAAGGGGGGGGTTTGTCCTTCCTTATTCTTAAGCTTCCCACTGATCAAGGCTCCAGGCACAGACATTTGTTAATTGCCACACAGTTCAGAATGTGTGGCCATGTGGGGATGCAAGACAGGTTTAACTGCTTTCCCTGTGACCGGGGGTGGGGTGGGGTGTGGCCTCCAGACCAGGGTGCGAATACACCATGCATTGCTACACCTGACTGTCTGTATGCAGCCAGTTGCTAAGAGCGCACCCTTGAGAACAAGTCCCGAGGCCCTGAATTCAAAACGCCCTGGTCAGGAGAATTCAGAGGACTGGAGATGGAAGGATTGTGAGAGCAATTCCAGGCTTGGACCCAGGAGAGGACTCGGACAGCAGGGAGTCTACAGAGCAGCTGAGGAAGGCTCTGGCACCATCTCCCCCCACCTGACGTCAGACTCGAAAAAATCAAGGGGGGGGGGGCTGTTCAGGACACACTTGGGATTGAGGCGGATGACCGAAACTACATTTCTTTTCTAACAAAATAAATGTTATTCCACAATAGACATCTTACGATGAGTGTGCATGCCAGCAAAACTATACAAGTCCTACTATACAGCTCAAGTTGGGAGCTGCGTCAGCATGCGGAGGCTGCAAAGGAACAAGTGAAGGCTTACTCCATGCCGAAAGGAGAAGAAAGAAACACAACGTTTCCACACTCTTCTTCTTCTGACACCCAAAGAAGGCTCCATAGCTGAAATGTTGCGTTTCTTTTCTCTTTTCAGCACTGAGTAAACCTGTACTTCTTCCTTTGCATCTCTACTTTATTGTAAACGTTCTTAAAAGGGTGAATGTCCTTTCTTGAGCTGAGCAAGGCGTGGCTGGCACTGGGCTCACCCAGGAAAAGAGTCCCTCCAAGCCTTACATAGCTTCTTTACTTTGGAGCACCATCTCACCAGCCAGGTGCTGTTTTCAGAGGACAAAGAGGCCGGACTGTTCTTTTGGGACCTTGGACCACTGTTCCTATGCTGATGCAGCTAATTTACTGTCATTTTTATGCCTTAAGTTTAAAAGGATCCTTATTCTAGGGGACTTTATTATATACATTGATTGATTTAAGGTCATCCAGTCTGGCTATAGACTTCCTTTCTCTACTGGGATGTTTTGATCTTACTCAGTTTGTTTGTTTTTGCTTAAGACATTTCATTGCCAGCAACTACTGCTGCACTCTTTAATGTTCTGCATTTGATAAATAAACTTTGATTGATTGATTGATTGATTGATTGACTGATTGATTGATTGATTGGTTGTAACCCTACACATAACAAAGGACACACCCTAGATTTAATCATTGCAAATGACCATTTTGTCTGCTCCCACTTGATCTAGACCTCTCTGACCACTTAGCTATTCTCTCCAATCTGGAATGACCTGTTTCTAACACCTCCCCATCATGCTCTGTAATTGTCCACAACTGGTGATCAATTGATCAGCCAAGGTTTACAAAGTCTGTTTTATCCTCCTTATCTTGTTTCTCTAAGGTTTTTTATCTAAATCTACTCTGAACAAACTGTAGAAAGTCCAAATTTTGCAGCCAGAATCCTGACCAGGTCTAGTGCAAGTGTTCACATCACTTCTATCCTGGGGTCCTTGCACTGGCTTCCTGTCAAATTCCGTGTAGACTTTAAAATCCTCATGCTCACCTATAAGGCTCTGCATGGCTTGGCAGCTCAGTACCTGTCTGAACTATTATCGTCCTACTCCCCACCTCGCAACCCCTCGCTCTTCTAATTCTGGTCTCCTAACTGTCCCCCAAGCCCATCTACACTCTATGGGTGACAGGGTCTTCTCCTGTTATGGCCCCAAGCTCCTGGAACTCTCTCTCCAAGGATATCAGAGAGTTAGTTTCTCTAAACCCCTTCAAATCCAGACTCAAAACTTTCTTCTTTGGAAGAGCCTTTACTTTACTGGTTCCATTCTTTACCCCTCTGCTCCTACTATACTTAGTACCACCATCCACGGTCTCCTCTGTATATTGTAATAGTGTTTTATCTTGTGTATTCTTTTTATTTATTGTAGTTGTCATTCTGTAAAGTGCTTTGAGAGGCCACCTTTCTATATAAAATAAAGTTAATTATTATTACTGGTGTCCATGGTGTACTAATGCAGGTATGGAGCTGTGTCCCTGGGGAGTACTTACTGTGTCCTGGATTCTGTGTTTTTTTTGGGTAGGGAATGAATTTTGCGATTACAAGACAATAAAGATGACACTTATCAATAGTAGTGACGCTTGGTAGTCTGTAGGCCCGCTGGTGGTTCTGTTCTGGGAGATAAAGAGAACGTGAGGCCAGGGAAAGGGCCCTAGCACCCTTTTATAAGTGCCAGGTGGTACAGTCACGCACAAAGGAAAAAATATTCCTGCATCTAGAGTAGGGGTCACCTATGGCTTCTAGATATAGTAAAGTGGTGACCCCGGCAGGTTTTCTAGCCGTTGTCTCGGGTTCGATTCCTGGGCAACAAAAGGTTTGGAATGTGTAAGGGGTAGATAGATAAGGTTTGATTCATGGTACAGTGATGCCAAATGTCCAGTTCGCCATGTGGAAGACTGGAAGGAGTGAATGGAGGAGCGGCTGGTCAGGTCAGTTTAAAAAAACGAAGATATTGAAAGGACTAAGACTAACAGTTTCCTCTTTATGCTTTATATTTCTTCTTCTTCTATATTCTTTATTTACAGGGTTATTTGGTCTGAATAATGGTAAATTCTTTATTACACTATAATGTTCATTATATGTGATGTTGGAGTGTCTTAATATTATCCAGCAAAATGTGCAATATGTCATACGTAGCGGCGCGGCCCAACTGGTAATGTTAATTCTCTGTTACGTGTGTAAACTTTGTTTCAGTTGCAAATAAGATGTGGTATTAGAAGACGTTATTTAATTTTGTCTGTTATAGTAAGTCACTCTCCATTTACTGAAACGAAGATAACAAAAGCACTAAAACTAACCGTGTCCTCTTAAAATTCTTAACAGTTAGGGCGATCCCACGTTTGTATTCACTGGGACCCATCAGAAATGCAAGAGCAATAATTGAAGAACTCTCCGAACCGTACAGCCCCCCGGGCTCCTCCAAGTCTCTTAAGATACAGGCGCCACAGGAGCCACATGCCTTGTACTGATCTTCTTGTACCAGGAATAATGACTGGGGGTGTTTAATTAGGGATTTTAGTGAAAAGGCGTGGTCTAGTGAAGAGAGATCTCAGCCTAGAAGGTCAGACGGATCAATAATTTGTAAAGACCTGGAATACGTTTTGTTTAACATAATAAATGAATTAATCGATTCAGTGGAGTCAAGAATGGCCAAAAGTTTTAATTGCTATATAATTGCGTGTGTGGTGTTTAATCATCGATGACTTAGGGAGACCTATAAGGGTGGAGCAGTGGCTCTGTGGCTAAGGATCTGCACCTGTGGCTGTTTCAAATCCCATGGCTGGCGGAGGAATCCTGCTCTGCTGGGCCCCTGAGCAAAGGCCCTTCACCCCGGCTGCCCCAGGGGCGCTGTATAAATGGCTGACCCTGCGCTCTGACCCCAAGCTTCTCTCCCTGTGTCTGTCTCATGGAGAGCAAGCTGGGGAATATGAAAATACAAATTCCTAATGTAAGAAACTGTATATGGCTAATAAAGGGATCTTATCTCATATGAACTGATAGGATTATTTCCCATGATCAGGGCTGGTCATTTCTGCCTTCCTGATCAGTCAGCTGAGACAAACAATAGAGCTCTTCTATTCATTAACCGAAGAGAAAACACACACCACAGGACACAAAACGATCTTTTCTGTCATTTCTCTGAGTTTTTATTACATTTACTGAACTTCAGTTGTCTTCTGCGTTGGATTCATACCCAGTCACAACGAAAAAGTGCTCTAGAAAAAAAACCCAGAACAAACCAACGACAAAAAAACACCCACACAACGATTGAATCAATTGATCAATTAAGTTCAATGAACCGTAACCCCACTGTGCAGTTACTGAAATAAGAATAACGAACAAAATATACAGAAACACGTGGAGAAACGAAACAGTCTCACTCCAAGGCCTGCGCTTTTGAAAGCGGCACGCATGTAAACATAACCGATCAATAAATTTAAATACAGTAAATATATATGGCAAAAAAATAAAGTGCATTTGGAAAATTAAAACAATTAAAAAAAAGATTTGCCATCACATTATATTAAACTGACGCTACCACGTTACTTTATTCAGAGAGGGACATCGTATAAACATGAACTGAGCGAACACAATATTGTTAAACAGAAGTGAGCACTTTCTTTTCCACAGGACATCGTGTACTACTGTACTAATTCTGCAACAACCATATTTTTGTCATAATATCTCATTTTTACGTGTTAATAAAACGAGGAAATAAAAGGGCTGATTTTTCACGTCGAAAGAAACCGAAGACGACTTGAGGGCGATGGCTTTGACCTCCGTAGAGTAGGGAGGCGCTGCTGTCTCTTTAGGGGTGTCGCTAGCTTCTCTAAGGTAAGGATACGTACAAAATAAAGACTCAATTGGCAGCCCAATTTGGTATCAGTTAGTGTATAATCATAACTCACACCTAAATAAATCTGTTGCGCGACTAAAAAGCTTGTTACTGCGGTTTAGACACACATAAGAAAGTTTGTAAACCGCTGGTCATCCGGTCGATTTAAGCTGCGACTATAGAAATGATTTTGTCTCCAGCTGAACAACTACTCTATTTGCGCCAAGCGGTTTCCGAGCAGGTGCGGTATTTCCTATCGCAACGCTCGATACATTTTACAGACACCTGTTTACTGGTACACCACATGATCTTTTCAGCAATTACTTCCCGTTCCCCACACAAAGAGCTGATTGGCGGTGTTATCTAATCTGTAGATATGGTGCGCGTCGAACAGAGAAGCTGCCGACACGTAGAAGCGGGACAGAGGAACTAAAACGGTTTTTAACGACCGGCAGGTGAAGCGGGAAGGATCACGCTATGGCACCAGAAACTGGTGGTTGCTTGGCACCAGAAACTGCCTCGCAGTGACTGATCGTGCGCCCGTCAGCGATTGATCAGGTGTGCCCCTAGCTGCTTCGGGTTTGCACTTTTAAGACAGTCAAAAACTGTCACGAATTCTTGGGACTCACGGTTTGGGTGTGTGTGTCCTCGCAGTACCCCCTCCTTACCTGGGACAGCCACTAGAACTCACCACTAGAGGGCAGCGTTTAAAAAGCCAAAAGAAAAAAGATGAGGACACATACGACTGTGCGAGTCGGTTCTGATGTTCAGTTGACCACAGCCTCGCAAAATTACTTGCATATATCTCTCCTTAATGCCCCATACATCACAAATAACACATTTTTTTTTAGAAATTTGTATATGAACACTTTTTTAACACCCACACGATTTCATTTTACATAGTTTTTGCATAAAAATTAACAGTTCGGTCCAACAGCCAGCGACGTTGGCATGGATCTGAAAGTTAGCAAGACTTTTGGAAATATTCCTGAAATTAAAGCAGATCTTTTTTTTTATTTTGAAAACCTAGCTGCTTTTTTTCTTGCGGATACACGGCTGCTCTTTAACAATCTGCTACTGGAATTCTGACACGATCTACTGTATATACTGTATATATTTCTAGGCTTTCTACTGAGATCTCCTGGGCACACACCCAGCACGGCTCAAAATTTAATATCTGTAGGATGTGGCGAAAACGCTTACTTCTAAGACACGTCGTCATCACGGATTTAAACAATTTGGAAGTGTAAGGGAAGCGTTCCTGGACAATGTGTCTAAACCATCGAGACCCTAAGGCTCCGAGTTCAAACGGGACACTAAGATTTTTAAAACAGCCTTATGTTTACACAGCGTTATGTGGGAATGAAAACTGGTGATTCATTATCTGAAATAACGCGTTTACCGCGTTCCTTATGGAATTAACTATTTTATTTTCACCACAACATGGGGGTAACGCAGAATTTACGAATGAATGTCCTTCGGTAAGGGCAGTTTTTCAAGTGTGCCGGACCGCTCAGCGGGTCGTTTTATGGTCAGGCTAGTGGAGGCCAGTTCGAGAGCGTGATTAAAAACACGCACATCCCGTGACAAACAGAAGAGCAGGGTCCAGCGGGTAGGTACAGCAGGCAAGCGCAAGTTTTCGCTTGTCACATCTGGATATACTGTATAGTATAGTGTCGGAAGAGCCCGGCTGCACTGACGCAAAGAAGAATTTGGTGCGGAGGAAAATGAGAAACATTCGTATACAGGACACAACGACAGGCTATGCTGTCTTGTGTTAGAATAACATAGCCAGTAGCTGTCTGGAGTCCGATGCCATTTTGCTGGGGTACGCCAGAGATGAACACATATCTGGGGTGTCTCATAAGGAAGCGCATGGCTGCCATCAAGGGCATCAAGTAATCGATTCCACGGCACACGTGTTCTTGTTTTAAGGATACGTGCGCGCTTTGAGGTACAAACCGTAACATTTCGTTCTGACTAACGATGGCTTCGTTAGTCAGAGTAAGTAAGTTCGTTGAAGCAGTAAAACCACAGCTCCTGCAAATATAACAGGTTGGTCATACACTCAAATGATCCTTGCTGTCTCAGTTACGAGATAGCTCGGATTCCCCCCCAAGATGGCAGCAATGCGCTTCCGTATTTTAATAACAGGGTCTCAACAAGGTGTAGGACTGAGAACGTCTGTACCTGACGCGCCGGCGCGATAAAGGACGCTGGGACTCTGCATCTGATGGTAAGATCTTAAATAAGGCAATGTTTTTTTTTTTTTGAGGGCGGAGTTGGGGCACGATAAGACCTTGCACAAATCGGGATAAACAAATAGTATCTTCAGTCCAAACAACAGAAGTTCTTAGCTTCTTGCCTGCCGCTCGCTCAGGTTTTTCATGACAATATAAAGTTGAAAGGAACTGCCCCACACCCTGACTTGTTCAGCTTTGAAACCCCTTAAGATCTTTCCACCTAAAGCTTCTGGGCATTTGCGTTTCTGTACAGTACACACTGTAACGTGCATTGTTTTGTTTTGTTTGTTTTTTTTACAGAAATGACAGGATCCTTGGCATGAGTTTTTTTTTTACAAGCTTTGGAACAAGGAGCAGAGAAACGGCTCTGTCTTTCTCCCAGTAAAAAAAAAGAACTCTGCTATTCCTAACAGCAATAAGTGGAGAAAAAAAAACAGAACTGAAAGGTGCCAGCACTCAGCTACACCACTAGGTTTCTGTGATGCCTTCCTAGTTACAAGAAAGGATTGTAAATATAATTTGCTACATGCCCCCATTACCACCCCAAAATATCGCATCTCAAACCTCACCAGGTCCAGTGCAGTGTGAAGGAAACCCTACTGTATTAGGTGCAAACAGAAGAATACATTTTTTATACTTCCGTGCACTGTAGCTACCAAGACATCCTGCAAAGAGTTTCAGAAACGGTGCATGCAGTGATCCCTGCAGGATGAAAAATCTACCTATTTTTTCCCACAAGAAATAATCACAGCAGTATTTCCTCGGTTTTTAAATACCACTGTCTATCATTGTAAGTCAAGTCTTACTTAATGTACTGCCATTTCTCTGCTTCTTGCTGTGTCTTAAGGAGTAACACAACCTAGGTTGTCCCAAACCTATTCACATTGCCTGCCCATTTGAAACCAGTGCCGCTCCAAATTTGGTGTTCACAGTATTCAGCACTGTTAGTAGGTAAAGCACTTATCTTTATACTCCTAAATATTTTTATGCCGAGACTGTATGGATCATGCATTCACACAGAGATATTTTCCTTTATATGTATATGATAGAGCACTGGCTTGTATGTACATGATTCAAAACAGCCGCTGAAGCACCTTTACAATCATAGTCTTTTGCTTTAACTTTTATAAATCCCTTTATTTCTTTTCACATATCCACATGTTTCTTGTGTGTGTGGAAGTTGGCACCATTCTCACACTTTGAAAGGCATTTGAATTTTCAGGTTCCTCCTCCAAACAGCCTTATAACACTAATGATATTTGGGGGAACTTTCTGTTTTATCAGGCTGACTGGTGCTGACTAGGCCCTGCTGCGTTGCTAGGGTAACCGGCCTACTCCCAGTTGGAGCCTCAGGCTTTCCTGCAGAGCTTCCTCTTCTCTCCTCTCCAGGTGGTTTGGGACTATCTTTGCCCTTGACTCCCTCTGCCCCACTGGAGGAACCCATTTTAATGGGGCCCAGTACAGTTTTTGCCACGCTGGTCAGCTGAGTGACAAAACTGGATCTATCACTGGGGGAAACAGGTCTGGATTTGCTAGGAGAGGAGACAGTTGTAGTGTGCTCCTCCACCACTTCCAAAAACCACTTCTCCTCTTTGTCCTGAGCTCCTCTGTAACAGTTCACCGACGCCATGCTCTTGTCTCGGGCCTCTTGTTGTTTGGTTTGAGCTGGGGCCTGACTGCTGCTTCCATTTGATGTTGTTGCACTAGATTCTGGAGTTCTCCCGTTGGGGGCAGAACCTTTCTGTGACCCCTTGTCTTTGTCCTGGATTCTGTCAGCTTTTGCCATCTCTACTACCGCAGTAACAGGGGCTTTCTCATGTCCTGGGCTGACTTTCCCTGCTGCGTCAACCTGCAGGTTGCCCTTAGGGGACGATGCCTTGACTTCCTGTTCCTTCTGGATCTCCTTATCCAGGCTTTTTTTGCCTACAAACGTCACCTCTGTCTGCACCCCTCGATGCTTCCTGTCAGCAAGGCTCGTGGCATTCTCCTGGGACTTGATCTTCTCTGGGGTTTTGGGGCCACAGCCTATGCTTGCTGTCTCTATCGTGGGTACCCCTAAATTGCTAGCCACGCCAGCAAACGAAGAGGGTTTCTGCCCTGGCGTTTGGGCGCCAGGGGCCGTACTGCTGATTGCATCTCCCTGCTTTCCCACACTGCCCTGTGAGGGCTCGCTCCGGCCAGGGGTTTTCGGAATCTCCGGAGGTTCAGAGGTCACCTCCAGGGTGGGCGACGTTCCCGGCCCTTCTTTCCTCCCTTCTGGGGACGTCCCGCCCTTGTCTCTCCCGGCCAGCAGAGCGTCCCTGCTGAGCGGAGACTCCTGGCGGCCCAGCTTCCTGACGGGCTTGAGAGAGCCCGTTTCGCAGGGCGGGGGTGGGGGCGGGGGCCGCGTTCTCGCCCTCGGTCTCCAGCAGGCTCTGCAGGCCCAGCTCGCTGTGGAAGGACTCTTTACGGTAATCGGCGTGCGAGACCTCTAGGCTGTGCTTGCGCAGCGCCGCCTTCTTGTCCGAGGAGAGCGGGGAGCCCAGCTTTTCCGCCGACTGCACCCGCTTCAGGAGAGGGGAGCGGGGCGGCTCGGCGCTCTTGGGGCGGGGCCGCACCACGGGGGGGGAGGAGTGCAGCTTGGCCGGGAAGGTCTGGGTGGTGTTGGAGCTGCCCACTGTGTGCCCCGGCAGGGGCGGCGGCGAGGACTGGGTGGGCGAGGGCGTGTGGGCCAGCGGAGACAGGGGGATGTTGCCGGCGGACTTGCAGCGGGCGGAGCGGTACTGGCGGTGCAGCTTCGGGGACAGGCCGTGCAGGCTGCTGGGGCGCATGTGGTGGGAGGCGGCAGGGGAGTTCGGGGTGCTGGACGCCGGGGAGCTGCTCTGGGAGGAGGCGCCTGCGGAGGGGCAAAGGAGAAAAAACCCAGGGCAGATGACTGCAGGGCAGGAAGCCCAGGCAGATCTGGCAAATTCGAACCTACTGAATCGGTGGATTACAGCTGATGGATATAATACACAGTATGCTGTAACACTACGGTACTTTAATTACCTTTTTACTTTAGCACAGTATGTGACTCAGACCAATGCATCTTTATCATGCTGTAATACTGTGCATGATCTGGCTGACAACATTTCAGCCAGAATAACGAGTTCCAGGAATTGCTATTAGCAGAGGCAGGGAGATACTACAACCCCAAAACTGAAGTTGGGGTCAAGACAGTTCCCATCCTTCTAACAAGCTGACAGCAAAGGTCCTGTCCTGTTGCTGGGGTCCAAGGTTTCAGGTCCTGAGGAACACCATTAAATACATGTATTTTCCTCCAGCTGTATCCCTTGTCAAATAAAATAAAAATTTAAGGAGTGTAACATCTGATGGCGAAGTGTTTTTATGCTCTGCTCTGGTTTACAGAGCTACTCTGGGTGGAGTGCTTACTTTGGTCAGTGATGCCACTGTACAGGCTGACTTACAGTATCCCCAGTGGGCGTGGCTGTGGGAGGGGGTCATTAGACATGGGTGTGGTCTCAAGTTAGATGGGAGCTCCTCATTGGGCAGAGGGGTTATAGGGTGTGTCAATAGGAGGGGCTTACCGAGGTATGAGGAGTCCGGGGTGGACCGGTAGCTCTGGGTTGGTGAGCGAGCAGATAGGCTGTGCGTGGGGGAGCCGGGGAGGCTGTCGCTGGACGACAGGGAGCGGTTGAGCGAGGACAGGCTGCGGCTGGTGTGCAGCAAGTTGGACTGCTTAGTGATCTTCCGGAACAGGGAGCTGCGCTTCTTGGTGCTGCCCAGGAAGAAAGCCAGAAGCAGGGATTGAAGTGTGCAGTCAAAGCAACCGCAGAAATAAGGTACAATAACAGGAAACAGGTTTAACTAAATCCATGTGCTTTGATTAGTAGACCAAATAGATCATGCAAAACCTGTCGGTGATACCAGATGTTGGTTTATGCTGTCATCCATCCATTTTCTAGCTGCTTTATCCAATTCAGGGTCGCGGGGAAGCTGGAGCCTATCCCAGCAAGTAACAGGCACAAAGCAGGGTACATCCTGGACTCTAGTTCATCCCAGAGCACGCACACACACACTCACACCAGGGCCAGTTTTTCCAGAAGCCAATTAACCTACCAGCATGCCTTTGGACTGTGGGAAGAAAGTGGATCACCCAGCAGAAACTCACGTGAACATGGGGAGAACATACAAACTCACGCCAAGTCCGGAATTGAACCGAAGACCCCCACACTGCGAGGGGTTTGTACAGGACAGGGTTGTTAGCCGTGTGCCCAACATGGAGGATCTGGCGCCCAACATGGGACACGAACCCACTACCCTGAGATTATGAGTCTCGAGCTCTACCAACAAGGCTAGCCGGGGTGCTTCAGCTATAATAACATTGCTAAAATTGATTAAGATTGGGGAATGGCAAACTTTACCTCTCCTGGCCCTCTTTGGGCACTGTCTTCTTGTTGCGGCGAGCCATCTTGGACTTGTAGCTGGACTTGCGGGCCGGCCCAATCTTGATGGAGGTGTTCTCGAAGGGCGTGGTGGTGACGATCACCTTGTTACCACTCTGAGGGGGGGCACAGCACAGCAGGGCTTACAACAGGGGCAGGGAACATAAGATCCACAGCAGATCCAGGCCAATGTTTTAAGAGCTTTAATTTTACTCACTGAAGGGGGCTAATTACCTAATTAACTGCTCAAACACTCACACCTTTTTCAGATTGTTTACCAGAGATGACAAAACGAATGATCATTTGTATACATTGCCTTTCGTGACACAGCATCTCAAGGCAGGTCACAATAAAGAAATGGAGCCCTCTCAAGACTACAGCTTTCTAGGTACCTGATCTGTGCGCATGTCTCAATAGCTGTGTCTAAATTAGCTCTTAGCCCAAAGCAAAGTACACTGCCTAAGAGCAACAGAAAGGAGATGTTATTTTGAAATGGTCTCTAGGCACCTTCTCTGCTACCTGCTCCCATCCCTGAGACTGACCTTCAGAATGAGCTCCACCACTTCTGTATGGACCAATCCGTGGACAGACTCCCCATTGACGTGAGTAATGAGGTCACCGGCACAGAGCCCTGCCTCCTGGGCGGGACCTCCTTCCTCCACGTGCTGTGATTGGTCGAGAGGAGACAAGTGTCAGGGACAGAGAACTAGTACAAGTTTGCAAGCAGCATAGTGGGTTCTTGGCTTTGAACATGGTCTGGAGTATCGGCGTGCAAATTGTGGGCCACTGGCAAATTTCAGGAGCGTAAGAATGTAAAAAAGAAGTGAGGTAAGATCATTTGCTGTATCCAGCTTGCTTGGTTGCTACTGGCTAATTGGTGCACAGTCTCCTTGTGATAGAACAAGCTTCCCAGTGTAGCTGTCCTGGCAGGCCAGGTTTGGGGAATATCCTGCAAATATCTTGAGCTAGAACATTTGGGGTTGCTTTACTTGATTTTCTTACTCTCAAAAATATCCATTATATTATTTTGGATCTGCTGTGAGTGGAATAATAGAATAATAGAAGGACAAAGGAACTCACTCATCTACCATCTTTAATTTTAACCAGATGTTCCTTATATGCATCCCACTCAAGCAGCAAAGAGACCCAGACTTTCTTTAGCCCCTGAGATCTTACGAGCTGAGGATTTGAGGAGTCTTCAAAGAGAACAATGTTTTTTGTCTTTAACACAACAACACAATCGCATAAGCATATGAGCTTAGCAATGAATTTTAACTGTTTGCCTAGCTTGAATTTGAATAGCGCTGGTTGCCCTGCAGACCCAATTTGCACATTTGTTGATGATGCAATCAGCTCTTCAAAACTGGAGGCGGTGATGTGGCTAGCTCAAGATTAACTTACAAAACTTTTCCGGGTGTGGATGTGAAAGCTCGTGATGTACAAAATACTGGATTTGGTTTTGAGGGAGTCATATTGTGGATCTGTTTGCGGAAGCCATCCCTTAGGAGAACTCAGACACATTGCCAGCACGTTAGACCAAAACCGCCCTGGACCAGTGCAGTGGTGTTGTGTTAACATCACACGGTGGCTGTGACAGCACCACAGAAAACATGCCGATACAGTAGCTCTTCCTGGGGCTCGCAAATTCACATCACTCGGTCGTTCTTATTTTGTCTTGCAATGTTGCTCCGGTTCTCCCTGTGCTAGCCAGCTGCAAGCAGGGACGCGAGTCACATGCGTCACACACGCCTCCCGTTTCCGCGGCGCCCGGCCCCGCCCCCTCACCCAGACGATGTGGTGCACGCTGTAGACGTCGCTGTCGCCCATGTAGACGCGGATGGCGCGCAGCGTGAAGCCGTACTTCTTGCCGGAGCGGTGGATGGTGATGGGCGAGCGCAGGCTGGTGACGGCCGGGCAGTAGTCGCGGCTGGGGGAGGAGTCCCGGGACGAGGGGTTGGAGGAGAGCGAGCGAGGGGACATGGGGCTGGCCAGAGGGGATCCCGCGTGCTGCTCCACTGTCGACACACGAAAAAACAACGCCCTCGCCAGCTTAAAACAGGAGCGGACGTGACAACCCAACCAACATTCACTGCTCTCCAAAATCTCTTCGGAAACTGTGGATCAACCCATGAAACACCTGCCAGGGCCTGGGGTTGAGATGACAGGTGGGCTGGGAATTGGCCAGGAATCAATTATATTACATTCTGTGACTTTAATAACTAATGCAGCCCCACCTGGATGATGTGAAAGCAGCCATAGTGCTCCAGAACGCTCCCCACACACTAGCTGTCAGTGGGGAGGAGAGCAGAGTAATGAAGTCAATTCATAGATGGGGATTATTAGGAGGCCATGACTTTGCCCTAAATATGTAGAAATTGTTTTGCTGTAGATATTTTGTAGATGTTGATTTTTTTGGGTTTGATCCTTACTAACATTAGCCGATGTATTTAAGCTTCTCTGTTTCAGGATATATTGTGTATCTTCTATAAGCGCACAGCAGGTTCAGACAAGATGGCAGCCTTGTCTGGACCGCATTCCCCAGAAAGCTTCATTCTAAAGCAGCCCAAATCATGTGAGTCACATGTCTAAAGGAGGGACAGCCATTTCTTTAGCTCCCCCTAGTGGTTTGGGGGTGTACCTGCAGGGATGATGACAGACAGGGCGGTGGCGGAGGCTGACTTGATGACTTTGTTTCCTGGGCGTGAGCTGCGCTTTTCAGCTGCATCACCCGAGAGCTGCTGGTGCCGTGCCCGCCGGAGGACCAGGTCGCTGGTGGCACGGGGGGACGAGGGATCTGTAGTGTCCTTCCCGGCTGTGGCCATGTCACCTGCCTTCGGGGCTTTATCTGTGGAATCGGAGAGGGCAATTATTGTAGGTCAATCTGGTATCAAAGGTATCACTTTCACTTTCTGAAGGAGTGCTGGTCTGATTTTTGGCTGGCGTTCCACCCAAACTCTTCATTCCTAATTGGCTTTATTCATTTGATTAACGCTGTTCTACCTCTGCAACAGGTCCACTGGTTGCATAGGGATTTCTTACTCATCAGTCTTTAAATTGGCAATGAAATAGTAACTATACCCAGCAGCCATATCACCCTGCAACTCACAACTGGCAGCCCACTGAAGCTAAGTGGGTGTGAGCCTAGTCAGTACCTGGATGGGAGACCTCCTGGGAAAAACTAAGGTTGCTGCTG